GACAGAGGAAGGGGGGAGGGGAGGAGGGAAGGGGACAGAGGGGGGGGGAAGGATAGAGGAACAGGAGTGGGAAGGGGCGACAGGGGAAGGAGGGAACAGGGTGGGAAGGGGCGACAAACTGAGGCTCAATGGACCAGGGAGCCTGGGGGCCACAGGTTTCCGTCTCTGCTGTGCAAACGCATCTCCTGCGCGGCACCCGTCTCCCCATCGGCGGGAAGCCCTCGACCGCCGTGGCTACCCTCCCCTTCCAAGACCCTGGCGTGGGAGGAGGGTTCCTGCTCAGAAGGCTGGAGAACCACGGCACCCGGGCGGGGGGCAGGTATGATGGGCTCCGGTACACACGCGTCACTGCCTGCCTCAGGGCCTTTGCACGCACGATCCCGGACACCACCACAGTCCCTCACGCACTTCACCAAAGACCCCACTCGGATCCCGCCGGCCACAAAATCCACCCACCCCCCTCCCGTCGCTCCTCCTCGGAGGGGTCACAGGAGGTCAAGAGGTCACCCTGAGCAGAGAACACCCCTCCCCCATCCGTTCCCCCACGCCGCACACACAGCACCAACAGTCCCAGCAGAACCCTGCGCACCTGCCCTTCCTGCATCCGACCCGCGGCCTCTGCAGCAGTGTCCGCGCGGCTCCCCAGGCTCCGGTGTGTCGGTGCCCCCAACAGGAGGGGGCGAGGCTGCCCCCAGGTCTGCACGGAGCAGGCCCCCAGCCGTAGGGCTGCCGGAGCGCACGTCTCAGCGGCTCTCCCACAGGTAGCACGCCCTTCCCTTTGTGTCGGGCAGCTGCCACCCTCGAGAACACCGGCCACACGACGCGGCGTTGGCCGTGTCACCCTGAGTCCTTCCGGACCCGGAGCCTGCCTGTCTCCTGGGAGGGCGGGACCTGAGAGCCGAGCCGCTCAGCGAGCGGGGTCTGCCCCCGCCACAGCGCGAGCCGGACGACACCGCGGCGTAGGAACCTCAGGCCTCTAGCCCGGCCGCTGAGATTCTGGGTGAGCTTTCTCTTCCTGCAGGGTCTAATCCCAGGTGCCCAGACCAGCCCTTCTGCTCAGAGTCCCTCCAAGCCCCGCACAGAGTACCCGACAAACATTTCAGAGCACCCATGCCCCGCCCCACCAGGAAAGGAAGGCACCCTCGGGCCACAGACACCCCGAAGGGAACCCGGTGAGGCCAGTGGCGTCCGTGCGGCCAAAACGACCGCCTCTTCGCGGCCCTGCCGAGGAGCTCAGGGGTCTGGACACGAAATCCAGCATCCTGGAACGGGGCTGCCCCCCGAGCGCAGGTCCCGGAGAGCCGCCCCTCCCATGAGAAGGATGAGCCAGAAATAAATGCCCACCGACCCCTGACCGCGAGGAATGAAAACGATGGGCTTCACACGTCCTGCTGCATCCAGGAGCGGGGCACGGGGGCCACGGGGCAGATCGTGCCCCGAGAACTCCGGGCCACGGCAGACTCTCACTCGGCGCACACACCACGTTCACAGCATCCGGAGCGGGCAAGCTGCAGGGGCTCCGTCCGGCTCTGGATCTGACCCTTTTCTGCAAGGCGCCGTGTCCTCCCATCGCGTGAGGACGCAAACTGGCTCTGTTCCCTGTTCAAGGGGGCGGCAAGGCAGGGACTCGCTCTCTGGGTTCTGTCCCGGGCTCCCCACAGCTGACAACGCCCCAGAGAGCCGCAGGACAGGAGCTGGAACGACCCTCGGCCGAGGCTGACCGCCACGCCCCCACCGCTGATGATTTACGGAGTGACACCCATCGTTCACCCGACGGTCACGAGCATCGGACGCTACCCTGGACGGCTGCGGGAGCTCGGACCCTACACCCCTAACCGCGAGCGAGGACGAGACTGTTTTCTGCCTTCTGAGCCTCCCACACACGGTGTGCCCTTCTCCCACAGCCGTGCTGCTCAGGAAACTCTGCTGTCACTTTCCCTGGCTTGCGGCTGACTTCTGTGAGAAGCCGAGGTCCCTGCTGGCTGGTCCCGTGGGACCCTCCCCTGGGGGCTTGCACTTAGCCGGCCTGCATCAGTCTGGATAACCCCAAAGCCCTCTAGCCAAAACCGTACTGGTGCACCAGACTGGTGCGGCCTGAAAGGAGGAAGACCTGCCCCGGGAAACCATCGTCATCTCAGGACCCATAAAACTGCCCGAAGTCCCACGGAAAAGGAGCAACTCCCCGTCCAAACTCACACGTCCACACGCAAACAAGGCGCCAGGAGGGACAGAGCAGGACAGAACCCACCAGCTTCAGATGCCGACGTGACCAGACCCAGGACCCACGCGCTTCCCCTGGCTCCGATCACAGAAGCAGGAAGCTTGAAGATGGACGGCTGAGTCCACGGAACACAGACCCCAGTCACACGGCAAGAGGAGATGTACAGACAACGCACGTGGGGGATGGCGGGGTGGACGGAGCACAGCTGAGGACAGGTGCGGGGAAGTGGGGGGGACAAAAGGCAGAGGTCAGAAGGCCACCCAGGGGGCGGGGGGCGTGGGGGGTGTGCGGAGGCGCACCCTGAATCCTGGGTTCCCGGTGCTCCCCACACAGCACCGGTAAAGGGAATCCCGCACAGACACAGGGGAATGGAACCGCCGGACACCAGACACCACCAGCACATCCTCCAAAACAGCCGGGATGAAACACAGCCCAGTGGGGTCCTCTTCAGCGCAGCAAGGAATCAGACAGCGGGCACGCTGTGGAGAGGCGACACCGCACCAGCCAGGGTGGCCCCGGGGCAGGGCCGTGCGATCTGCGGCTCTGCCCGCGGGGAGGTCGGCGGCCGGGAGGTGGTCCCTGCGACCAGAACAAACGCAAAACACACTGAGAAGTGAGCTGTCAGCAGACCCCGGTTCGCGGACTCGCAGGGTCTCGATCCCTCAAACCCCCGCACACGGGTTGGCGGACTCGCGGCGTCTCCGTCCGCGCACATGAGTTGGCCGACTCGCGGGGCCTCCATCAGCACACACGGGTTTGCGGACACGTGGGGTGTCCATCCACACGCATGGGTTTGCAGACACGCGGTGTCTCCGTCCAAGCGCACAGGTTCCCAGACACGCAGTGTCCGTCCGCATGTACGAGTTCGCGGACACATAGAGTCTCTGTCCACGTGCACAGGTTCGCAGACATGCGGGGTCTCCGTACGCACACATGGGTTTGCAGACACGTGAAGTGTCTGTCCGCGTCCACAGGTTCGTGGACACGCAGAGTCTCCGTCCATGTGCACAGGTTCTCGGACACGCAGTCTCTGCACACACAGGTTCACGGAGATGCAGGGGACGTGGTGCTGCAGCAAAGCTCACCCACGTGCAAGTTCTGAGTGAGCAGGAAGAAAGCACCACAAGGGCAGTGGTGTGTTGGGGTGAGGGCGTGGGGTACAAGGACCACGACCGCTTAAACCAGAAACAAGCATGTAGCTTGGCGTCTTTTCAAAAGCGCTGTGCGCAGCAGAGCATGAAGACGGGACAAACCGCGGCGTCTCCGGGAGTTCGACGGTAAAGACTGTGACAGACAAAGGTGAGCAGGTGACAGGTCCAGTGTGTGTCGGGAAGGGTACACGGCAAGAGTGCGAGAGCAGGAGACACACAACCTAACTCAGCCCACAGATACTCCTACGGTGCACGTGGGTT